AAATTAAAAAAATATTTTAAAATTTAAGAGATTAAAAATAGATTTATCTTAATTTTTTTAAAAAAATATTTAATTCTATTAAATTTTAGTGTACTGTTACTTATAAAGAACATAACGCATAAGGTTTTTCCGATTTGTATGCGTTGAAGAAAAAAAAGTCATTTGATTAATTTCAGATTTAAGTTTTTCCAATTTTGCAAAATCGACTTCAATTTCGGCAATGGCGAACCACCTGCCTTGCACTCTATAATTATTAGTTAACTTGAGAAATTTTGTATTTTTATTAAAAATAAAAAAAATTTAAGAATAAGCATTAAATTATATTGATTTAATTGATGTTGTAGGTAATCCAAACTTTAAAATTTTGAGTTCAAATCTTGTGTTTGATAAAATAAATTATTATTTTTAAATTCTTTTGTATAATGTGAGACCCTCAAACCTTCCCCCTCTCAATTTTCTTTTCTTTCTCATCCACTTTAACTTCTCAAGCTACTAAAAACCCTTTTATTCCTCTTCATTTTTTTCAAGGTTTGAGCTGGTGTGAATGGAAGTGCAAGTGATAGCTTGAAGCTCAGAATTGGTGTTGCATCTCCATTTCTCTTCTTCCTTCTTCTCTAGAGTTCGGAGTTGTCATTTTCATTCCTCATTCTCCTTTTTCTTTCTTTTTAGCTCGGAGCTCAAAGTTCAAATTTTCAATCCGATAAGAGGTAAGATAAGTTAGAACTCGAACCGTTGTATATTTTGGGTTACATGTAGTTGGATCATTATTTAGAATGTAATTTGGGGTTGAGTAGTTGAATTGGGTAGGTTGCATGTTGTTTGAGATTGTGGTGTTCTTGAATGAGTTGGGTAAAAATGGGTGATCACGAAGTTTGATGCATGCATGTTAAAATTTATGTGGTTTATGGGTTACTTGAACGAGTGTAGTAGTAATCATAGGTATAAATCATGTTTAGAAGAAAGATTGGTAAAAAGAAAGTGAGGATCGAAAATGAAATCTATAGAAATGCGAAAAATTTTGAGATTTGTAGTCATTACCATGATTCATGGTCATAATCATAAGATAAAAATAAAATTAACAGATACCCGTAACCATGACCATATTCATAACCATAATCATGAAATAAAAATAAAATAACAAAGACTTATAACCATAACTATAATTCATAGTCATAATTATTTGTCCATATTATTTCATATTATTTTACGATATATATATATATATATATATATATATATTTTTTTTTTTTTTGTAAAATAAAATGGACAAATAATTATGTCTATAATCAATCAACATCGATGAAAGATGATCATGGTGTATTTTTTCACAATGAGCAAGAAAATAAAAAAAGATAAACCCCAAGCCGACAAAATTTTTATTTCCTTCCTCGATTATCTTTTATACAACTAAACAACTCAATTTAACTTTTTTTGCACCCATTTTTCCTAATCTCTCCCAAATTCTCTAGCGTTTTGGTCCTACCAAAAGAAGAGTGGGGAATTGAAATTTATTAAATCTCATATAATAAGTCATAATATAGATCAAGGCATATTAAATTTTAGGAAAAGAGGAATCAAAATTCTTAGAAACTCGCAGTTATTTATTACGTCGGTCCTTGTCAGCAGTTGCGGAGCAAATTTTGCGACTCCAAACTCAAAGAAAGATCTATCGATGAATTATTTATTATTTACTAAAGTAAAACATAGAAAATATAATAATTAATAATGTGCCTAGTTTGGGCGTTTGTTCCTTTTTTTTCTCTCTCACACACTTAATTCTTCTCCGTTAAGATTCTTTTCAGTTCTCACCGTCGTTGTTCTTATTATCAACTCTTTCCCCTTCTCAACCTCAACAACAAGGTACCATCATAACACAGCCCTCTCTCTTTTCCTAATTTAATTAATTAATTTATTATTAAATTTTGGTTACGCCAACTAATTTCGCCTATTTATAACCCTACCCCGTTTAATTTCGCACCCTGTATTTTTTCCTTTTCAATTTCTACTTTTACACAACAATATCTCCTCCCACCTTTAAATTTTCTCCCAATCAAAACGGAATCGTAATCGTAATCGCTGTTTATCTTTTTTTTTTCTCTTTCTTTCTCCGTGATTTTCCGGCAGGTTCAGAGAATTCGCCGACGAAGAAAGAGAAACCGCAACCAACCGCGGATGGCGGAGGAACACCGTTGCGAGGCTCCCGAGGGCCACCGTCTGTGCGCCAACAACTGCGGCCTCTTCGGCAGCTCCGCCACCATGAACCTCTGCTCCAAATGCTACGGCGCCATCCGCTTGAAGGAGCAACAGGAAGCCTCCACCACCAAATCCACCATCGAAACCGCGCTCTCCTCCTCCGTGGCGGAGCCGCCGCTGTCCGCGACGCCTCCCGCCGTGGAAGCCGCGCCTCCGGCGGACGTGGCAGTCGCGGTGGCGGTGGCTTGGAGTTCTTCTCCGTCCGGTTGGGTTGAACCGAACCGGTGTGCGAGGTGTCGGAAGCGCGTGGGATTGACCGGGTTTAAGTGCAGGTGCGGGGTGACGTTCTGTGGGAGGCACAGGTACCCGGAGAAGCACGCCTGCGGGTTCGATTTCAAGACGGTGGGAAGAGAGGAGATTGCTCGCGCCAACCCTGTCATCAAAGCGGAGAAGCTGCAGAGGATTTGATTCGATCGCGACCGTCCACGTGTACCGCGGGGAGAGACATGTCGTTTTTTTTATGTGTAATCAATCTATCATCATGAATGAAATGAATAAGTCGTATAAATATTTATTTCAAAAGATAAAAATTTGTAGGGTCACCGTCGGGGGTGGTTGAAAAATGAGTGACTCAGGGAAACAACGCGCTGCGCGGTGGAGCGTTTTATTGTGCTTTCGGTAATCAATGTGTTGGGGTCAAGTTATGTTAGCGTGCTCGCTCGCGGTGCCAATTTTTTTTTTTTTTTTTGTTATATATGCATTGAATTCTTTAGAATATGAAAATGGTAAATAAGATAATTACAATGATATTTTTTTTATTTGATTTTTGTAGGGATGATAATAAGGATTAACGGTTTTTGATGGTACGATGATTTATGATTATTTTAACGAGTAAATACTGTGTGATCGGATTGGTCTTTAAAATTTGGAGATCGTCGAAAGAAAATGTCTCTCAAAATGCAGAATCATGATTACATTATTTCAAAAACATAAAAATGTGTTTAAAGTGATAATATTTTTATAATTCCATATATTAAATTTAAGAATTTATTCCATGTTTTATTTTTTATTTTTTTTTATAATTGTAGTACTTATGCTTTAAAAAATAAAGTATACGTTTAAGGTCATTTAAAGATTATTATTATTATTATTATTATTATTATTATTATTATTATTTATTTTTTACAGTTACAAGTTTAAATAGATAATAAGCGATAATTTTATCTTCTTAAATAACTCATTTCATGTTACGAGTGCTCACTTCAAAAAGTAAATAATCCAAAGATAGGATTTGAAGGATTGCATAGGTACACATTTTTAACTTGGCAAAATTTCACTCTTTTTTCTTTTAACTCATAAGGACATTCCCCAAGCAACTTGCTGCGCAAATGGTTGCATAGACATATTAATTTGCCCCTCTATGTAGACTTTTGATTCGAACTAATTAGAGAAGTTTTCAAGTGGCGTTGCAGGGTCATATTCTTGTTGATTCAGATGAGAATGAAGGTGCATTGGTAGAAAGAAACATGATATGGTTTAGAAGTATCTCGCGTTGTTATTTCCCAGAAATCATATTAACAAAAATTGAAATAAATAAAGAGCAATGAGAGAGTTCGGGATACAAGGGACAGTTTTTTTTTTATTTTTTATTATTATTATTATAAATTCACATAGCTTTCTTTTGATAAACTCATAAAAAGTACTTAATTTGAAACAAGCAAGCTCTTTAACAATGATTTATCTTATAGCTTTGATCAAATAAGTAGGATTTGCATATTATAATCATATTGAATTTGAATAAAAAATAGATGAAAGTTAGTGATCACATCTTATCACTAAATCCTAAAACCTAAACATAACTTATCAAGCCTTTTTCGTTGACAACATTCAACACCATGTTTGCCTTTGACAATAATGATTAGGAGATTATTCTTAATGAAACATAATGACAATATTAATCAAATCTTGAAATTTATATGTTGGTATTAGGTAATTTCATTAAAATGTCCCATGTCTCGTGCAATATGCATTATAGTCACACCTATGGTAATAAATGAGTTGGGTTGAATCGAGTTTGGTTCATCTTGACTCGACTTGATAACATTTGACTCAACTTACAATTTAATTTGAGTTCAACATATATATGTTTTTTTTTTCAATTCGAACTCGACTTGATTAAGACTCGCTAATAGTTTAATTCAACTTGTTATCTCATTAGTTCAAATCACATGTGTAACATAGTAAGTAGATTTCAAAGCTTAGTGGACGCTAGGGAGAAGAGTATATAAGATTTTCTCTGAGAAGAGAGTCTCATAAGCTCATTCTCAAAGAAATCTAGAGAGAAGTTTTAGAGAGAAGGACTATGGGTCCATGAGCTCCTTTCTCTCTCAAATTTCTCTATTTGATTCTTCTTCTTCTCTAGATCACTAATTCCTTCTATCTTTTCTTGAAATTCAAGCTAGGAAGCTTGTTTTTGGAGGATTGAAGTTCGCGGGTCGAGCTTCGGAGGAAATTCTTCTTTTCCTTAATTCTTGGCTATTATGAGCCAATTTTCAGGTGAGGGAAGCTAGAATGTAGGTTGATTGGTTGCATGTAAGTTTAGGAACTTAATTGGTGCATGAATTTTGAGGATCAATGGTTGAATTGAAGGATTTGCTCATTTCGAGGTTTTTGAGCAAAATTGGAGTTTTGATGATTTTGATACATCAGGTAGGTGCATGTTGAATCTGAGATTGTTTTCAAATTGTATGAGACTATGTATTGTGTTTCATTGATTGCATGTGGCTGGGATTTTCTGGTTTTCAGGTTTTGATGGAATTTTTGAAGCTTTGGAGGCTGTTGTTTGAATCTGCGTCGGGCGCATATTCTTGGTGTCGGGCATGCATTCATCAGGGGCAACCATTTCCTAATCACGCCGGGCGCGAGGTTAGTCGCGCCATGCGCGATTTGAAATGGGAATCTCTAGATGAGTCACGTCGGGCTGAAGAGAACCACGTCAAGCGTGCCATTAGATAGTGGCCCTGTATGACATGTTACTAATATGGCGTTGGGCGCAGGGTGGGTGCACCGGGTGTGGAGACTCTTGTGAGTCTCTGCCTACAAGGACGTCGGGTGTGACAATTCTACCCTGAGCGTGGGAGAGTCTTAGAGCTCTCGGGTTGGGTTTAGGCTGGGCACGAATTGACTTGCGTCGAGCGTGAGTATGTTTGGTATTATGATTGAAAATGATGCTTTTGCATGTTTAAGGTTGAAGTTGGATCATGTATGTATGATATATGATGTATGGCGATGTATGATTCCTATGTATGCTTGGTCATGATATATATGAATGTTCAAAACATCCTTTGGTATGTACTTTCATATGACGATGATATCGATCCTGATGGTGGATTGACCATGTATGATGTATGATGCATTCTTACATGTGATGCCTTATGGCATGTGTCTAGCCCAGGACTTGAGGAGGGGAAAAATGTTTTCGAATTGGATGAGCTCACATAGAGTCTCTTGAGAATGGGGCTTAGATAGGCCACTGATTTATATGAGAGTGGTGCTTAGATAGGCTACTAGTTTTGGGTGAGAATGGTGCTTGGATAGGCCACTGGTTTGGGTGAGTCTCCTCTAAGTCCTTAAATAGTGTTGGGGTTGGGTATGAGATCGAGGGTTATTCCCTTAACCAAGTACTGGGGAATGTGCGTGGTTCCTTGTGGATAGTCGGTGGGCGAACTCCACAAGTGACTTGGTAATGCATGCCAAGGTCGTGGTAAGCCTGTACCCAGTTGTACTATACCTGACGGTAGAATCAGACTTCCAAGTGTGTAAGTGACATCATCCGAGTGAACTCGAGTGGGGATTTATATCCCAATTAGCTGTGATCGAGTGGATGCATTGGGCGTGAAAACGGTTGGGGTGGTTTCAGTAGGATGGGATGTCACTTATACTGCTCTATTATTATAGAGATCTCCTAGGTGAATGCGTGATAACACATTAGATGATTGATATGCACTGATATCTGTCATGAGTTGCTGTTATTGCATGATTTGTATTATGATGAAGTGTATGGTGTTTGACTTCATGATTAATAAGTTGGTGGTTGATTGAGATGGAAGTCCCTTGAGACATGATTAAATGATTGATATGCATAGATATCTGTCATGAGTTGCATTTTTATGCATGAGTAGTATTGGATAGAGTGTATGGTGTGACTCTATGAGAATGATTGGTGATTTGAAATTAGTGTAGCATAGATATTTATTTGTATGCTTACATGATTGATTTTTTAACTCTAGCTTACCCTTCTGTTTCCATGTGGATGGATTGCGTTGATCATACTATGTATCAAAGCAGGTTAGGGTTAAGTTGGAGTTGGTTGCTGTGACCGCTGCGAGACGTGAAATTTTGTCCTTGTGTTAGAGTTATCATTTGAGTAACTGTTTTGTCTTTGCTTGACCGGTATTAGGATAATATTATTTTGGATGACTATATATACATAGTACTATATTTGGTATATAAATATTTGATTTTTTTATCACTTCCTTTATATGTATATCCTGTTATCCAACTTAATATTTTATCTTAGATGACTAGTATACTTAGTATGATTCCTCTAAGTGTAGGGACCATGACGGGTCGTCACAACATGAACCGAAACTCTTTTTCTTTTGTTTGAATCTTATATATTTCAAAATTTTAATTTAATAAAATTTTCTAGATAAAATGATTATTTTTTTTAAAGGACAAAACATGATTTATTTTATTAGCTTTACAAAATTACAATTTACGACTATAAAGAAACATGATTATAACAAAAGTCTTTATAAATTAAAACAATTCCACTATAACGATATGGCATATCATTACACTCAATATATTATAATAACTACGTAACAAAAAAAAATGAACTACTCAACTATACTAGGGTTCTTTTGCGATAGTCACCTGGACATACATGCAACAACTATATATATAGGATGCAGAAAACTTAAAACAACTCTTGATAACACAATTGAAAACATAAAGCATCTTAAATGGTTACACACACAATATACATGCAATATACAAATAATAAACAAAATTGTAATATTCTAAATTTCTGATACAATATTATAATATTTTCAATTTTAATATTATTATCGCATTCTTATAATAATAGTCTAAATTTCTAGTTATCATATTTTAAAAATAAATACAGATTAAGTACAATATTATTATTTTAATGCTTTAAAATCTTTATTACAATATTTCCTGTAAATTATAATAGAAATATATAATATTTAATTATATTATAAAATTTTAAAATCTTTTTTATAATATTTTTTAGAATAATATTTTAATTATGTTAAATTTTAAATATTTAATATAAGTAATAAAATTATTTTTCTTATAATATAGATAGTTAGAAGAAAGAAGCAAATTTTTTTAAAAAAAAATTAAAAAATAAAAAATATTTTTTTATGCAATCTTTAGTATCTCTAAGCAATTTCACTTTTCTACTAAGGTAAGGGAGAGACTTTTATCACTTTTAAATTCTTAATATTATTATATTTATTTATTTTGTTATATTTATTTAGTGAGCTGCCCCTAAACTCATTCATTTGTTTAATCTATGATACTTTTAACTTTAAATAGTCAATAAGGTGTTACTAATTTATGTTGTTTTATTATTTTATGATATTTACAACTGTCATATAATTAGTTTAATATACTTAAACACATCTCATTATTGTAAACTATATTGTACTAAATCCT